GCCAAGTCAAGTCCGAGTGAGCTCTCTCGATACCTTCACCGACAATAATAGTAGTAAGACCGGATGACAATTCACAAGATGTGATGAACTTGTGATATGTTCACCAACACGGTTCCCGAAACAGTTCTCATGACACCAGAAAATGGTTTATATGAATAATCGAGGGCAGCCATGCTGCTGTGTCCCACAAAGCTGAACCGACGAGGGCTGCCGCCGCGGAGATGAGAAGAAGAGAGCTGGACGTAGAGGCCACCTAGTCCGTAGTCCTCCTGCCCAGGTTGCCTGCCCATTACAAAAACCGCGCATTGCTTATGTCGGCTATGCCGGCATCTCGGCTGCCCACGCTTCCAACCACTACGTCGTCGCATGGGGTCGATGGTGGAACCCCCGACCTCCAGGACGAGGGCCTCCCCCGCGAGACATTTCAACCCCCAGAGCCCGCGTTCATCTTCCCCCATTCCCTCCATACAACAGCTGGAACACTGCACCCCCAGGACCATGGACAACCTCAGGGTGAGCTTCCTGGATCGAATATGTCGAGTGACTTGGGGATGGTTCTCCATCTCCATGAGCACCGGCAGTATTGCGACTCTGCTGTACAACTGTCCGCACACGTTCGACGGCCTTCTAATAATTGGCAAGATTTTCTTCATTCTCGACATCGTCAGCTACCTGGGCATCTGGACCTCCTTGATCATCCGCTTCTCCCGCGTTCCTCGCGCCTTGATCGACACGTTCAATGACCCCGAAGAATCCTACTTGATCGCCACGGCCGCCCTTGGTTTCGCAACCATCCTCTTCGGCATCGAGATCTACGGTATCCCAGCCTGCGGAGTGTGGCTTCGCTGGGTCCAGCTGGTCTGCTTCTGGATCTACACGGCCATTGCTATCTGTCTGGCCGTGGGGATGAACTGGCACCTTTACCGCACCCGCATGGCCGCTCGGCAGCCGTTCTGGCTCGTCCGTCTCCTCTCATCCTTCCCAGCCATGCTCGGCGGCACCATCGCCTCTCTTCTTACATCCGCCCAGCCCTCACACTACGCTATCCCTATGCTAATCGCCGGGACTGCGTTGCAAGGCTTTGGGTTCATGATCTCCGTGTTCATCCTGGCCGAGTACATCCACGGACTACACCATCAGGGCTTGCCGCCCATGCGTCGTCGCCCGCAGATGTTCATCGCCGTTGGGCCGCCGGCTTTCACGGCAGTGGCGCTGATGGCATGGCGCAGACCGCCACCGAGAAGTTCCCGGTCCATTTGATTCCCATCGCCAACCGGGTAAATACCGCCGACGTCCTGCTGGTGATGGCCGTGTTTATCTCAATCTTCCTCTGGATCGTGGCCCTGTTCTGCTGGAGTATTGGATGGCTCAGTATCTTCGACGCCCGCCGCGAGTGGAAGTTTGACATCACCTGGTGGGCGACCGTGTTTCCCAACACCGGATTTGCGCTGGCCATCATCAAGATCGGCGACTTGCTCGACTCATCCGCTATCCAAGGTGTTGGAACGGCAGCAACCCTTATACAAGTGATTCTGTGGCTGGGCTGCGCCAGCATGCACATCTGGGCCTACTTCACGCGGCGCACGCTGTGGCCGGGGATGAATGAGGGCTTCGGCCCGGATGAGCATCAGCAGGAGGCTGCCCTGGACTTGGAGGGTGAGGTCCGGTCGTACAAGGGTTCGTCATCGGCTTGACTGCGGACCGGTCTGCCGATCGTATATTGCACCGGCTTTCAATGACCCATGGTCAGAATGTATATACCTTGCTGGCATGGACGTGCAGTTGCGAAGCTGTCATGTCGCATTGGTTCGATCACTTGTACAGTATGTTTGTGTCTTCTCTCGCGCTGTCTTGCTTTCTTTTTCCTGTGTCGCCTCATTTGCTTATGTACAGTACATCAATTACATACTATCTCGTCCTTCCAGGCACATCTTGCAGACGAGGACTTATAGAAAAGGTATTGAAAGAGCCAACTCAATTGCGGAGCTCGGGCAAATGCCGAGAAATGCCAGATGTTTGGCCGTAGTTGATCGCGTAGCTTTATGGTGGGCTATCCATGGCTTCAATATCCCCGAGAATGTCTTGTACATCGTCTTAATGTAATGTCTAGCAATTCTGGATGATGCGTTGGTATCTCGCTCCGTCGATGCGCGGAAAGCTCCCGGCCGCAGAATTATTGGCAGTTTGCTCCCAGTCCTCGTCGTCTATGTCTGCGTATGGTTTCTTTCCTCCCGCGATCTCGTAGATCAAACAGCCGAGGAAAAAGACATTGGCTTGGGCGAAGCGCGACATTTCAGGGAAGATACGGAAGTTGTCCTCTTCCTCCGCAATAGAGGGGAGATTCTCGGAATCCCAATCCACCAAAGTCGCAAAACTCGAGGATCAAGTTATCGGTGACCAAGAGGTTGCGTGGGCTGATGTTGGCATGGAGGACGCCATAAAAAATGGACATGAGCAATTGCTGTGATGGCTGCTAGATCCACTGGTCCTTGGTTTGATCCGTGACGCAGCAGTCCTGACAGAACGCGCGGAGATTGCCGTGCTGCATGTAGGGCAGGCGAATACCGATGTCTGATATCTGCCGACATTGTAGGACATACCTGTGCGGACGAAGATTGCGGTAAATCAATCTCCCGCGGGCCATGCACAGCGCAGAATACGATCCCACTTCATGTGCGTGGACAGCCCTGTCTGGGCTACCTTGATGGGTGTATTATCGCATTGGGCATTTCAAGACCACCTGGTCATTCTCGACATCCCGTCCTATCATGTCCGAAGTTCCGTAGGCCAGGGTCGGTCGACGGACTTGAGGGGGGATTTTGACTATAGGTGGAGAATCTGCCATGATTCCAAAGGGGGAAAGGGGACATAAAAGCTGAGGTCTCACCATCCGCACGATGGGGTGTGTCTTGGTATAAAGATATGCTACAGTACGTGTTACATCTAATACGTTCATAACGCCGCGCCTCTCCCGCCTCTCCTCTCCCGCTTCTCCGTCGGTCTAACCCGGCAGATTACAATACAGTACAAAGACGTGGAGCCGGTGGACGTGTTTATCCCCAGGCAGCCGGAGACATCTAAAGATAAACTCTGTGTGCTGTTGGAGTTGACTCCATTTCAAAGAAGCCTGATGAACCCAATTTGCCCTTGGAGAATTACTCTTGGGGATTGATCAAGATCTTCTTCCCACTGATCCTCCCCTCATGCAACAGATCCAATGCCCTTTGAGCAGAGCGGAGCCCTCCCGGGAGCCACAGCCCCGGGTTCGGCCAAATCGTTCCATCCTTCAAAACCCGGGGTAGAAACCGCTCCATGAACCATGCACGCGACTCCCGGTTCTCTGGGGTTGAGACCAAGTCCTCACTGTAACCTGACCACATCTTGGTCACATTTGTTGGAAGTCGATCATCCCCCGGGGATGGGCTGGTCGAAAAGAACTGACCGCCGGTATCCCGCAGTAAGTCCGCCATGAGCTGGGTGGTCGTCTGGGATCCAATGGCCTCGAAGATCCCCCCGTCGTATGGACCATGGGTTCGGATCTCATCGAGGAGGCTTTCTCGGGATTGGTGATGATCGATGATATGTGTAGCAGCCATGCGTGCCTCCACCAACGGACGATTGGCCGGCGAGGCGGTGGTGACAACCTCATACCCGGCCGCCGCCGCATATTGCACGGCCAGGCCTCCAACCGCGGAGGATCCCCCGTACACAAGAACTCGTTTCCTCCTAGCGTCCTCGTCGGGGTTTGATGGACGGAGTAGGCCACCACTACTATTCAAGGGCGGTTTCGCAAGGCCCATATGGATACTGAGCGCCGAGACGACGGTCGCCAGGTTCGCGATCAACCCCGTGGCGGCCTCCAAAGTAGTGCTCTCTAGCTCGAGGCGAAGCGTGTTCTGCTCCAGAGCCAGGGCGTATCGCTGCAGGGCACCGAATCGGTGATCGGCCCCGGTCTGACCCCAACGCGCCACCACGACTCGATCGCCGCTCTGGACCGACTCCACGCCTCGTCCGGTGGAGATCACCGTTCCGGCAAAGGTGAATCCGACAACCAGCGGATATTTGGATTGGAACAGATCAGACCTGCAAGATGATTGGAATCCATAGGTCAGCAATAGTCCCGGGCGCGGATAATGGTATGATACCTCTGCAGTTTTGCGTCGATGGGATTGAAGTTGACAGCCTCGACCCGGACCAGCAGCTCACCCTCGGCTGGAACCCACTGGTCAACAGCCTCGATTGCAACCAAATCCCCCGGCTTTCGGATCAAGCCAGCAACATTTGATACCATTATGGTCGGATTCTATCAGTGACCGCTTTTTCTTCCCATGCTCTTCCGTGCTCGATGCATGGTGCTGGACTTTTGGACGAGGGTTCATCTTTATCTTTCTGAGTTGGACCCACGCATGAACCGGGTTTTTGTATTTGTAAGCCATATAGCGAGTCAGTCAATCATCCAAGCCAGTCAAGTGAATGTCACGGCGGGTTTGTCGGCAAATGGAGTGGGGCCGGCTCGGTTAATTGCAAGCGAGCCGCTGGTCGATCTCACGCTATCATATGTACGTAGCGAACTCCAATGCGATGCATTTTATATTGCGGGGACCAAATATAGCATAAGGCAAGATATGGAATGGCCGAAAAGAGATCGATGGGATGGAGCCTCTGATGATTCTTAGCCGAACTACGAATCGATCGAATCTTAGTCGTATTGAGTAGTTTAGCGCTTAGCAGTACTGTGCTTATTAGTCTGGAATGACCCCTGCTAGTTGGATGTGATGTGATCATGAAGTAAGGATGTCTGCCACGAACAAAGAAAGCATCTCAGTAAGAAGGAAGCCTCAGTCGAACGGGAAGTTGGCGAGGTTGGCTGAATTCGTCTCGCCTCCTCCCTTCGTATTTGCATTTAAACCGGTTGCCGTAAGCACTTCGACTTCCACACAGCACTTCAGTACTTCTAGCAACAATCATACTCAGAGACCATACCTCCCTCTATGGCCATCCAACCACTCACTGTCTGGCTGAGTTGTACGTGATCTGCCTCTCCTCCCCTTTCCCAGCAGGCTGTGTCTGAATGTATCAGGCTAATTGTGTCTCCCTGGGCGGCTTGCCAGCCGCTGGGCGCAACCCATGGAAGGTGGTTCTCATCCTCGAGGAGCTTGGAGTCTCCTATAAGACCGAAAGTTTCAAGTTCGACTATGTCAAGGACAAGCCTTACATTGACATCTGCCCGAACGGGCGGGTCCCCGCCATTGTCGACCCGAACACCAACCTGACCCTGTGGGAGTCCGGGGCAATCATTCAATACCTGGAGGAGACTTATGATACGGAGAAAGAACTAATCTACGAGTCACTCAACGAGCGCCATCTGCTGAACCAGTATCTGCACTTCCAGCTGAGTGGTCAAGGGCCTTACTACGGCCAGTCAGGGTGGTAAGAATCAAATCAATCGGTCGACCGATCCTTCTTACCTTTTTGCTCCCAAAACCGAGAAAGAAACTGACGGACTGTTTGTCAGGTTCAACGTCCTCCACCCCGAAAGATTACCCTCCGTCATTGAGCGCTACAACGGACAGGTCCGCCGCGTGCTGAGCGTGCTGGAAACCTTCCTGGGAGGAGAGAAGACCTGGTTGGTCAGGGATAAGTGTACTTTTGCCGATCTTTCTTTCATGCCGTGGAACACAAGACTAGACTTTGTGCTCATGTCCAAGCCCGGGGAGGACCCCCTGGCTCCCCATCCCAACGTGCAGGCGTGGCCCAAGCGGATGGTGGAGCGTCCGGCTTGGAAGCGAGCGATGGCGGTCCGGGATCTGCTGATGAACGACCAGGGGCTGATGCCCAATGGAGTGCCTAAGGGGATCAGCAACATCAAAGAGTATGAGGAGTATAGGGAGAAGCTTGCGGCAATGGCACAGGAGGCCAAACAGGCCGTGTGATCTTAGTGGAATGGGATGGGAAGATAGAGAATCAGCAACTGGATTGTTTCTGGGTGACTGGCATAGATATTACTATCTCTCTGGTTCTGACTTGCGCTCGTTCCCAGTCTAATATGGAGTTCACTATCCACAAAAAGGGGATTCAGGTTGGGACAAGGTAGGGGGTTAGGGCAGCGAGTCATCGCGTGCTGACGGAGCGCTCACGAGAGGGCGATTGTGACCGGTACCATCAACCATAAACATGCTGCTTTATGTGTTTTTGGTAGGCTTGCTGGTTGAGAAAAATGGACTGGAAATGTAGACCGGTCGCTCTGTCGCTCCTCCACCAGATAAACCAGATCAGGCTTGGATGCGATCGCGAAAGCCTGGGTTCTGGGCCAGTTTACCAACGGGTTGATCTTCGCGGTCCGCAAATCTAACATCCGGGAATCCCTCGAACGCGTGGAGATTGCCGTCCACCCACTGGCGGCCCGACTGGAGACACGCTGGCTTCATCTTGTCGGCGTTTCTATTGATCATCTCCATCCAGAATGTTCCCTCTCCGGGAGGAAGTAGGGCTGCTCGCGACAATCGCTGACGACAAGCGCCGAGTGGGGACAATCACGGTAATGGCCAATGGAAGCTGCGTGTATTATGCGCGCGGCTGGACGTCAGAAAGAAAGTGCCGAACCCCCACCTTTCACCTTTCAGCTTTCACCCCACCCAGCAATTCTGGGTACCGCCGCTCACCGCAGCCTCACCTCGGCTGGCAGCTTATCATCACCGGCCTAGTCGTTTCACAAACAAATCGGATTCCTGTCTCTCGACCTGACACTGTGGACATTCTTCGTGACATATGCCGCGCTACACTCAAGCCACAGACCACCACCATGATGGATGCTGAAAAGATAACTTAGCTCTACAGCCGGTTACCTAGTCTTATATCCAAGGCCAGGCACAGTCTCATCTGGGGGGTGGACCTTGAACAACGAGGGCAGGGGACTGAAGCTGTCATTCGAAAGGTAGGGTAATAGCCCGAAAGACGCCAGATGAGTCTGAATCGTTGGCTAACATAGTACAGTTCTTGAGCGCTTACTCTATTCTCCCTTCACTGCAAATCTCTCGGGCATCTCAGTCACTCAGAAAATCTTTGGAATGGCAGCGATTCAATAGAGCAGAGACCATGAATGAAGCCTTGGCAATTGTCAAGGAGTCAGGGATTGCTCACATTACACGCCGGCAAGGCAAGCTTGTTCTCTGGGTCATCATAGATGAGCGCGTCATCAAAGGTTTCGCATCTTCGCACGAGGATTTCATGACTCGCAAAGGATTGATGCACCTGGGACTAGCAGTCATGGAAAGCCTAGCCAAGCTGGAGATTCAAGAGGCATGCACCGGCGAACCTATCAATGACCAGGCCGCTGCTTGTGTGGTCGAATTCAGACTGGCTCCAACACCTGCCGCTCAGCCACAGCGCATGTCAACTCGTGACATGATCATCCAGGAACTAAATGATCTTGTTTCATCAATAGATCTGCATTATCCCTCTCTTCTGGATATCTTCTACGTGATTAATCCCTCGGAAGAATATCTTCTTACCCTTGACGTGCCTGATAGGTTTCTGGCACAAACGACTCTTCTATCCCATCGCGTGGATCTGGTACACTATCTGGGGAAAGCCGTTCCAGTAGAGTATGGTGGGGAGGGTGAATCACTCTTCGATGGAGACTACCCTGTTGGCACTGAACTAACCGAACAAAACCCGCAGTCACCAGGATAAATCACTGCAAGTGACACACAAGACGTCGATTCTCAGACTGATTCTGGTGTTGGCGCTGTACAAACGGCGCAGGTCAACGCCGATATCACCGGCTCAGACCCACGAGAAGCAAGACTGATATTCTCGGAGAAGATCGGACCACCTACAATCATCCTAGACCCAGAGGATCTCGAGTCAGCGACCGAGCTTTGTCCTGGAAAGATGGGCGCTCGTATAGTTTGGGCTGATGACGATATGCTGGTCAAATATGGCCACGGCGTTCGTCTAGCTGAGGCTGAAGCAATGCACCTGGTATCCAGTAGAACCTCGAGACCCATTCCCAAATTATTGAGCGCTTACATACTTGACGGTGTCCGGCACATCGTTATGTCTCATGAGGAGGGAGAGCCTTTGGACAATTATTGGGACCGTGCTTCTGAACCGCAACAGGAGAACGTTCTGCACCAGCTGCAAGACTACGTCACGCAAATGAGGAGCATCATCGGGCGGTTCATTGGCGGCATTGACTCTTCCCCATGTAGAGATGGGATCTTCGAAGGTGGCTATGGAGATTACGAGTCCTATCGGTATGGACCGTATGCCTCCGAGCCCGAGTTCAATGAGGGCGTGGTACAGGCGCTGAGGGATCGCCTCCCACCGGACTCGCGGGATGAAGTGAATCGTCCGGACTCTGCGTTTTTTACTCGAGAATATATCATGTACCAGACTGTCAGAGGGTTGCGTGGACACTCCATCGTTTTCACGCACGGAGACCTACATCCCGGCAACTTGCTCGTTCGCACTGATGGAGTGGTTTTTGTGCTCGACTGGGGCCTAGCTGGTTACTGGCCGGAATACTGGGAGTTCTATCGGGCAATGTTCAATCCACCCTGGCGCCCTGTCTGGGATCGGGTGATCGAAAAGTTCATCCCACTGTACTATGTTGAATGCGAAATTATGAAGAAGGTGTTCGGTATAGTGTGGAACTGACACAGCTGTTTATAAACGCAAAGCACACCCACAGCGCTAATAATTGTGTCAGGGTTTACTTCATTTGTGCTCGTTAGTAGACTGGTGGACCTCTTGATTTGAAGGACCGCTGATTAGGCTCGATATGATGGAGTCTGCTACAACATTGTATGGCGTCATGTCTCGTACAATTGACAGAAGGGCAGTCGGTCCCAACGAGCATCTTCTGAGGCCGGGAATTGTTTCCGAAGAGGACCCGCATACGACTGAGATACCGCTTCTTGAGCTCGGAGAAGCACCCCGAGATAAGATGATACCATGAAACCACATGACACATGGATCTCGGCTTTTTAGCTCATAGATATGCATCACAATAGGCTCGCTTGGGTGAGGCACACAGGTACCGTGTATATAATCAGACCGCGTCGACCCATTCTCTGCCCGCGGATTTGGCCGCGGGGAAGCTTCGCAGCTGATCGGAGCAGAGATAAGCGTCTGGCGCGATGCTTATGTCTGGGGTCCGGGTAGTCTCCAGGACCTAGGGGAGCTTACTTCGACGTGAAGGTAGGGCAATCTTATTGTTCATTCCCTGCCGCGGAGTCGATACAAAGCAACTAACATGAGAGACGAATATACAGGAGAATGGCGCATTTGACGAGATCACACAATGCAGAACTGGGAAGTACGGGAATGTCCATCGGGAACTCAAAGCTCGACATGTAACCTTCATTGCCTTGGGAGGAGACCTGGGGACGGGGCTGTTTCTGGGGATCGGGCGAGCATTGGGATAGTCGGGCCCACTCTCTCTCTTCCTCGGATATGCCATTGCCAGCTTCGCTGGGCTTATGATGATGATGGCTGTTGGTGAGATGGCCGCCTGGCTTCCTGTGCCTGGCGCTGTTCCTCATATCTGTTCCCGCTACGTCGATAATGCCCTGGGCTTCGCCGTGGGCTGGAACACCTGGTTCAACGCAGTCATCACTCTGCGCGGAGACCTCCGCTGCGTGCAGCATCATCCAATACTGGTGGCGTGCAAGCCATGCTAGTGTTGCGGTTTGGATTGTGATGCTCATTGTGTTATTGCTGGCCGTCAACATCCTCGCATTCAAGGTCTACCGCGAATCTGAGTTTATGTGCGCCATTGTCAAACTCTGTGGGGTTATCGTGCTGCTCATTACCGCTCTAGTCATTGATCTTAGAGGAGTACCATCTCAGAACCGACTGGGCTTTCATTTCTGGAAGTCTGATGGCATGATGAAAGAGTATATTGCGTCCGGACCCACTGGTTGTTTTCTCGGACTCTTCTCAACGCTAGTCAACGCCTCCTTCTCTCTTGGTGGCGTTGAGACTGTTGTTGTAGCTGCCGTCGAGGCAGAGTATCCTCGTCGACGAGCCATTGGACTAGTCTTCTGGCACCTCTTGTTCTTCGTTCTGGCGTCGCTGGCCCTCGGAATGAAATGCCCTAGCAATACCCCAAGCTTCTAAGCTCCAGCTCCGCATCCAATGCGGAGTCGCCCTGGGTGATTGCTATCCAGCTAGCAGGCATCCGGGCTCTTCCGTCTATTGCCAATGCTGTCATCCTCATCGCGGACATTTCGGCGGGAAATCCCTATGTCTTCATGGGATCAAGGTATCTCTTTACGTTGGCGTCGAATCGACAGGCGCCGGCTATCTTCTTGCGTTGTACCAAGCGGGGAATCCTTATCTACACTCTCCTCGTCACCATGTCCATCCCTTTATTGACTTACATGTCAATGGGCTCGAGCCCCAGTGTTGCATTTCAGTGGTTCCAAAATTCAACGAAAGTTTCCATTTTGTGTGTGGATCTTCCGTCCGCACGCGGAGATGTTGCTGACCTGCTGTAGGTACACGTGGATCGCCATTTGCATTGCATATCTCCACTTCCATGCAGCTCTCAAAGCACAGCATGTGGACCGCGCCTCTCTTCTGTTCTCATTTCTCTGGCAGCCGTACTCGACATACTTTATTCTGGGGTACCTCACTATGGTGGCGTTTTTCAATGGCTTCAATGTCATTGCGTGATACAACACAGCAGGATTCATCATATCCTACGTCGTGTTTCCGCTCTTCTTCGGCCTGTTTGTCTTGTGAAAGCTTGTAAAGAAGACCAAGTGGAAAGAGGCCGAGGAGGCTGATCTGTTCACAGACAAAGCTGAGCTTGATGCAATTGAGTGGGCTCAGAAGGCTCAATGACTGTCGTCGAGAAGCTGTGGCTTTGGGTCGCGTGAGAGACTGTTGAAAATAGTGCAGTGAGATGGATCCGAATACTGTATGTGGTTGCATGACCAAGGAAGAAATGAACATCACCCACTGGCAGGCTTTTGAGTTATTTTGTTGCATAGGGGCGACGGTAGATTACCATGGACTAGTTATCTAAATTATAGTGGGCAAGAAAAGTCCACCTGGTAAGTGTATGCTCCATTGAATAGACACAGATTGATGATTTAGTTGTGCCACTGAAGACGCCGCTTGTATGCCCGAAAAAGCTCGACAAAATGACAGCGAGTTTCGGTCATGCACCAGCCATTTGCTACGTAGGTGTGACACGTTCTGGAGTCCACTGGTATTCGTTGTGAGGAGGTCACCAAATGTCACGACACATTTATGAAGCATATATACCGCTTAGACCAAGTTACGCTGGTTCAGAACATAGTGGAAAGCCTCGTCCAAGATCTCCAAACCCTCTTCAATTTCCTTCTCCGTCACCGTAACCGGAGGCGCCAGGCGGAAGACACCCCCCATCCCAGGCAAATTGACAAGGTTGCAGGACAGACCACACACCATCGCTCGGTCAGATACAGCTTGCCCAAGTTCCGGTCCTGGCGCCCGAGTCTCACAGTCTGCAATAATCTCGATGCCCTGCAGCAGACCGCGGCCCCGAATGTCCCCAATGCACCAGTATTTCTTCTGCAGCTTGTCCAGCCCCCTGCGGAGTTGAGCGCCTCGTTCCGCGGCGCGCTGGCAGATGTTGTCACGCTCGACAATCTCAAGGACCTTGTTCCCCACCGCGGCCGTCAAGGGGTCATTCAGATGGGTGGTTAGCCAGAGAAAGCCAGCCTCCTTGCAGCCACGCTCGATCTCTGCAGTGGTGCTGACGGAAGCAAGAGGCAGCCCACATCCCAAAGTCTTCGATAGCGCGAGAATGTCAGGCACAACACCATCGTGCTCGAAAGCAAACATCTGCCCAGTACGCCCGACCCCCGTCTGCGCTTCGTCCATGATCACGAGCATGCCACGCTTCTTGCATTCTGCTACCATACGCGGGAGGTACCCATGGGGCAAATCGAGAATGCCCCCAGTAGAGAGGATCGGCTCTATGATGAAGGCCGCCAACGACCCCACGCTCTGGCGGTCGAGCATGGACCATCCGTAGTCCATCTCGGTTTCCCAGTCGTACGAGCCATCGGGCTTCCGGAAGGGCGACCGGTACGCATACGGAGCCGGGAAGGCCAGCTGGCCCGGCATGCAAGGCCCACCGCGTCGACGACCGGCAGAGTAGGTGGCGGAGCCGGCACCCTGTGTCAGGCCATGGTAACTGGCGGCAAATGCCACGATCTCGAATTTGCCGGTGTAGCACTTGGCCATCTTGATGGCCGCCTCAGTGGATTCGGAGCCCGTGTTCAGGAAGAAGGACTTCTCCAAGGGTGCCGGTAGAAATCGCGCAAGGCGTTCAGCCAAATCGACAACCGGGTGGGTGATCATGTTGCTGATGAGGTGGTCGAGTTCCGCGACGTATTTCTGGACAACTGCGACGATCTCTGGGTGCGAATGGCCGAGCAGGGAGCTCATTTGGCCTGAGGTGAAATCCAGGATTTGACGGTTGTTGGCATCGTAGAGCCGTGTTCCCTTGGCCTTGGTGATGACCACCGGTGAGTAGGGCACGCCTGTCGACATTAGATATTTGTCTGCCCGGCTGAAAAAGGCGGTCGTCGAATCAATGGAACCCATGTTGGATACTTTGTTGTGAGGCGGTATTCAATCGGAGACAGAGAGATGAAGTCTGAAATGAGAAGCAGATTTTGGAAAGTTAAGAGTGTCTTTAAAAGGCTCTTGTGAGGTGAGATGTGGTGGGGTTGATTGAGATAAGTTGCCCGCGGCCAGAAAGGGTGAAACGCGATGGCCGCGGGGAGAGGGGCAATCCTAAACAGCCAGGCACGTTGCAATCATGATTCTGCGTAGGACATGCTTTATGTCTCATCTCCCACGTTAAGCATAAGTTGAATGGGAGAATTGTTTCATTTTCGTCACTACTCAAAACCCATACCTATACTTTAGACATCGAATTCGACCGGGAATCCAGTGATCCCGACAAAGAGCTCCTCCAGAGTAGCCGGGTCCATATCAATGTTACAAGGTAGATCGGCACAATCTGGCGCCAGGAGACTATCATCGGTTTGTTCACTGTGCATCCCCACTTTCTCAACCAACTCACTGCAGTGCGAAAGACAGTGATCCGCAAGATCCCATCCGTACCTCTCCCTGTGTACCCGTAGCGCATCAATGAGATCTCTTGCAATTTTCAACGGCATATTGTGAGGCTGGTGTCTTATACGCAAGCCACTTCGAAGCAGTAGCATCGTGGCTGACGTGATGGAGAACGCGTGCACTGGAATCCAGAACCCACAGAGCTGATCCTCGGTCAGCCCTTGCACAAAGTACGCAATGTCTTCGGCGGCCCGTTGAGCAGGGATGTAGAAGGGTGAGGAGTTATTGTCGTCTGCGCCTGCCGAGCTCCTACTGAGATCAAGCTGTATGCGCCGAAGCAGAAGCTTGACTGCGAGGTAAGCCAGACGAAAATTAGCAGCACTCGGTAGGTCCTGATGCATTCCCCGAAGAACGAGATTGCGCATGTCTTCAGACAATGCCTCCTCCCACTCATTCAGCATGCGTTCCAAGTCTAGGGCGGATTGCTCAACCACTGGGAAACTACTCGACACGGCATATATATGTTCTAGATATCGGGCGAGCACATCCGTCAGCGTGGTCATCGCAACGAAAACAGAAGCTGTCGATCTTCCATATGGCGAGGTTTCGACAGCACAGAGGTCATCTGCCGTTGGAAAAGGCACATCGTACTGAGCTCGATGGACTTGCAACGGTGTTCCATAAGCTAGGCTGCACCAGCGATCATGAATCAGGACGAGCCACCAGAGCCGAATCCGAAGACTCCTCTCGAGAGACGATATGCCCCAGCCCGAGGGGTCGCGGTGCAGTCCAAGAGCATTGGCGAGGGCAACTGCAGTGCCCACCATTCCACCGTTGCCAAACATTGAAGTGCTGGGTCGCCCACAGACGTTGATCAAGATCGACATTACCGTGGATATCCCCGGGGATAAGAACAGCTCTGAATGCAGGGCCTCGTTGGCTTGATTCCAGATGAAACGCATGTCGGGAGGATGGTTCGTTGATAAAGTGGAGGATGCTTGCCAATAGACCAAGGAGTTGGCATATAGATTACACAGTAAAGCAGGCGAGAGTTTGTCCCTCTGAAGAGAATATGCACTTCTGAATGAAGCTTCGTCAAAGATTGGGAAGCATACATTTGCTCTTTGAAAGAACCTATAGGAATGGCATCAGTCAGCTGAAAGGAGCTGCCAAGACAAGGGCCAGTAGAGACCGACAGATCCAGATATTCCTCCATGTTGGGCCCCATATACTTCTCAATCACTTCACATTTGGCTGCAGCCAGTGTCTGGCTTGCACAAACCCCCAACGGTCTCCTTGGGACCAAGTTAAATCGTACCGGTCTGAAGGAGCGATCAGATTCGGGTCCCGACCGACTGAAGCATGTTTCCTGTGCAGTTGGCAGGGCTGACAGATAGTTCTCAAGAAATCGGTTATCCTCCGCTACGGCCGGGCTGACAATGTGAGGGTTATCATCCCCAGCTCCAGCAACCATTCCCACTATGCTTGGCAAGGCACCGGATTCTTGCTCATTCTGCGGGGTGTCATTATTTTCCAGACCTGCTATGTGCATGTGCCGTGGGCCAGCCTTCTCTCGTGCGCTAAGTTGGCTGTGCCTTCCACGGGCGGCTCGACGTCTCAGGTTGACATTGGATTTCCGCGGCGAAGCCAGTCCTTGACAGTGGTGAATACTGTCCGGGCTCGGGAAAATGCATTCGGTGCCGTGAACCTGACACATGATGCAGATTGTCGAGGCATTTTGCGTCCTGCATCGGGACTTCCGCTTCTTGCATGAAAAACATGCCGGGTGCAGATGTGACCGATAAGGTCGACCTTCTGCTCTGTGTCCTTGCGAATCACTCATGATGCCGAGTTCTTTTCGTCAGTTAGTATCGGATGAAGTAAATTAGAATTCCTCATGAAATGCTGGGAGTTGGAAACGGTGGAAGTTGGCCGTGGCTTTGCCCGCGGAGAAAGCCGCGGGGAAGTCTATCACGTGAGAGTCTGCTACCCTCAGGCCTGCATCCCATCCTCTTCTCCTCTTCAATTTAGAGTCTCTCCTGTTATGTGCGTACTGCACCTCAAGAAGACTTTATGGGGCACTGGATAGCTCCTCATCAATATGATTGCTAGAAGCATAGGCTATCACGAATTATCACGCTTTGAGCTCCAAACAGGCAGTACGTCTGATGCCGTAAGAGGTCCGCCACTCTTCTACGGTCGCCCAGGCCTATACCGTACCTATTCAGGATGTAGCTCTCTAACGTTCTTTTTACTCTTTCTGTCATTTCAGACAGCCCATCCGGGTCTGGATGAGTTTGACCACAGCAGGGACAGCGATTGAGGGGCTCATGTGGACAATGCAGGGCAAAAATAGCCGGGCGGGGAAAGGGAGATGACCAGCTAAGCAAACGGGCGAGCTTAGTATAGACAGATCTGACCCCTTCAAATTCAGCTTAAACTGGGCAACACTAAGTCTTCCTGGTGAAAGCGGACTGCTACCTCAGTATCTACTGGTATAAGGGCCATCGCCATTTAACAATGATGCGATGAGAGATCAGAATGGCGTACCGATAACGGGACTTGAGACTTATAGTGCTGTATTTGCATCCAGCATGTAGGATGTCCATTCCTACCTATAATATGTGCCTCCCGGTCGGTATTTAAGGTACTTCCCATGCGAAAGGGTCAGCGAAATAATGGGTGCCAGGCTAAGTGTCTGGCGTGCTCTGGCGAATCATACTCTGAGCACAAATGCTTCGATTCAGTCCCTGGAAATCCGCCGACGGGACAGCGCGGGACTAGACAAAAAGGCTGAGGCACTTGTCCAGATTCGTATGGAGCAAACCATCTCCAATGGCCGTCGAACAGGGGTGCACATAAAGATGATGTAACCTTTAATGACCGCAGACAATAATGGCTGAAGGCCGCAATCTAGTACCAAAGCCGATCGAGTAAGCTGGGCATGTATAGCCATTTTTCAGGTATATCTTGTGATTATTGGGTGATAGTCAGGCAAGAACGAATGGGAGAAAGCGGAGATTACCGAGGCTGCCTAATTGTAGCGGTACTAACATGTGTATGCTGACCGGTCAGCACACAACGACGCATAGGATTTAGTGCTCAGAGCTGACGTGACATATCTAACCCCCAGTTAGAAAGGAACCTGTCCTGTCCAATGCCACTGCGCACCGTCATTCTAGTGCCTACTGGCTGTGATCTTTTTATCTGAAGGGGGTTGAGCTCATACGATGATAGTTGCCGGTCTCTTCTTTCGCTACTCTACGGGTGAAGTAGCAACGTCGGAGAAAGCCAGACAGGCTTTATAAAAGACGCCAGTCCCCGTAAATTACTTCTAAAACAACTTCAAATACTATATTGCCCGCAACTTTCTCGGAATTTTCACGGATCCCGAGCTTCGTTTATTACCAATTGTCCCGGACAGTACTTAGGACCAAATAAAATAAATACAGCTTCTCCTCACACTGCTTCAGGCGAAGCTAGCCAGGGAATAATCGGCATTCTCGCCACCTCAGTTACTCTACGAGACAGATTACAGGCACTGGTATAGACTGTGGCGAGGTATTTACGTAATATAGAATAAGCTAAATCTTCCAGAGGCGGAAGATACTATTCGAATACTTATTAATACAAGACCGGACAATTCAAATATAGTCCTTCCTTACATGCTGGCAGAGCACGTAGTAAAGATTAGTAGATATAAAAAAGCCGAAAAAGTAGAAGAGCTGGTATTAGCCTTAATAACTACAAAACTACATTTAGGCCTATTATCTCCGCAGGCATTAAATACACATAAGATTATTACCAAGGCCCTGTGGCTCCAAGGGGCATTAAAACACCCCAAAGCTAAAGCGCTGCTGGCCGGGATTTATAAGATTATAACTAGAATAAGTAATAAAGAATTTAGAGTCTACCAGAAAAAGAAAAAATAATTTAACCAGAAAAATAATTATTATACTTAGAGCTTAAATACATAGCAGGCCGAGGAGATTAAAGTTATAATAATTATACTACAGTTTACTCTAATTATATAAAATTATATAAAGTTCTAACTAGAGTGGATTAACCTGACTGTTATACCTTAATCTTAACCTGGCCATAATCTGGCAGTCAGATTAAAATATAAAAAAATTTTAACCGTATGATTATAGTTAAATTAAGATATAACTATTATTTTAATTATTTATACCTACCGGTTAGAAAGATTAGATATAATAAATAGATTAATAATTACAGATTAATTAATAATATATATATTTTTTTTATATAAATAATATATAAAGCGTAATATACTTTTAATTATAATATAATAATATTTTTTAGATTTAGTTTATTTATTTAATATTATAATATAGTTCTAATCCTCCCGACTTATCTGCTTAATCTGTTTAATTTATTTAATTTATTTAATCTGCTTAATCTGCTTAATTTGTTTAATCTATTTAATCTTTTTTTTTGTAAAGCTGAAAAATATACTATATTTTAAAAAAAAATTTTATAAAATCTAGTATAAAAAAAATAATATTTAATATTAAATAAACTAATAAGATTATACTACTTTTTATACTGTTTAAAACGGTAATTATAATAGCAGAGAAATTAAAAAAATCAGATCTCTATTTTTATCTAAATATATATAATATTTAAAAACTTAGATAAAGCTAGCTTTTCTGTTTCTAATAATAATCTATTTTCTAGATTATTTTTAAGATTATTTATATTTTTATTTTTATTAATATAAAAGATAGTAATTATTTTATTTTTTTTTTACTTTTTAAATATAAAAATAATTAAATTTAGATTAAAATTATTAAAAATATCCTAATATTTTTTATTAATAGTAAAATAATTAGTATATATCTAAAGTATTATTATTTTAATTATATTAATATAAAAATAGCTTTAATAATAGTAGTAGATATCTTAAGAATTATTAAATAAATATTTAATATTAATACTATTAGTAGCAACTAAGAGAAAATCTCTAATTATCTAATAAAAAATAAAAAACTAATTACAGCGGGACTTTTAGTAAATAAAAATATTAATATATTTTATAATATTTAGAATAATATTAGTTTAATTAAAAATATTTTTATAAATTATATATTTTTAATATCTAAATATATTTTAAGTTTTATAAATATCTCAGCTGCTGGTAAGAGTTTTTAATATTTAAAAATATTATAAAAAACTTTATCTAGGTCTAATAATAACCCGAAGATAATTAATAATATATTAATAGCCGGATTCTAACTATAATAAAAATAAAATATTTTTTTAAAAATAGTTTGGTACTTATAATACCAGTTAATATTATTATTTAACTAAATATTTTTTTTAAACTTTTTAAATTTTAATATTAGATTTAGAATAATTATAATTATATAAATATAGTCTTCTGTCTGATAGATATAATAATAATATTTTTAAAGCTTTTAATATATATTTTATAAGTTTTTAAAAATCTTTTTTTTTAAAAAATCTGTTTTTTTATCAGTCGGTTGATTAAATAATCTAAATAATTAAAAAAATTATTATAAATATTATAAATCTTATAAACAGTAGGCCTACTGTTTTTAAATAAATAAAATATAAAAAGAAAAAAAAAGATATAAAAGTTTAAAAAGATATTTTATCTGTTTTTATTTAATTATAGTAGAATAAAGATAATTAATATTACTATAATTATAATACTAAACAAAACTCTTAATTATTTAATAAAAATTAAATATCCGGCGAATTATAAAATAGATTAAATTCTAGTAAGTTTTATAATTAAGAAAAAGATAATAAACTAAATCTAATTTAAATTATTAAATAAACTGAAACTTTTTATAGTATTAAAAGAAAAGCTTATATTTATAAATTATACAATTTTCCGAATTTATAATTAAGAATTAGTAAAATTAGCTATTATTAAAAAAAAATCTTTAGAACCCGTCTATAAAAAACTAATCTAAATAATTTTTATTATAAATAATAAGGGCTTTTTATATTAGTTTTTATAAATAGCTTTTAGAACATATCTTTTTAAAAATTTTTAAAATATTAGAAGAGGCTTTAAGACTTCTATTATAAATCTTTTATATATATTTAATAATACTATTTAAGGCTTTAATCTAAAGTTTTTATAAAAAAATATTAACTATAAACTGAATTATATAAGTAAAACAGAGTATATAATACTAGTTTTAAATAATTATTATAAAATTAGAATAAAGTAAAGTATTATAAAGCTGGATATTCTAGCTAAACTAAGTCTAGAGTTTAGATAAGATTATATTAAATATTAAACTATTATTATTAGTATTATTAATTATTATACCTAATAACCAATAAAATAGGTTGTATTTATATAAAACTAATAAAATAATTATAGCTAGATTTTTACTAATATAAAATTTAGATACTAGTCGGAAGTCTAATAAAATTTTATAATAATCTATATCTTCTATTAAAAAATATCCAGTTAAAATAAAAAATATTTTCTAATTAAAACTGGTTCAGTAATCTACTATAATTAATATTTATCTAGTATCTAAAAACTTTAATAACAGTTGTATATATATATTTTTTAATAACTCTAAAAAATATTTTTTAATCTATACTTAATTAAAAGAATTTAATTTTTAGTAGAAAAATAAAGCTATAAAATTAATTATCTGTTTAAATTAAATATATTTAATAGTTTAGAATAGTAAACAACAGGTAATTATAAAATATAAAACTTAATTCTAAAAGTTCTATTTATTATAGATTAGAAAGATCTAGAAAAAGTAATAATTAGAAAAAATTTATTTTTAAAAAATAAATAAATACTTATAATAGTTCTTTATTTAGTATCTGGCTGATTGTTTACTTAAATACTATTAATAATATTTTTTTT